CTCACCGGGATAACCGTTCTGGATAGGTCGACGAGTGTTGAGGCTACTAGTACTCCTTCTCCTTTTGGGCTATTACAGTTATTGGGATATTCTATGATGCCGTAGCGGAAATTTCTGTTTTCGGCTATGGATCCAGGAAGTAAAATTTCTGTTCTTGCCGGTATTGTGATATTGTCTTGTGCTATGATTTTATGGACAGATTTAACTTCATCATTGACTCCAAATAACGCTATGTCCTCAGATGTAGAATGCAATTCGTTATTTTTAAAGTCCAAGGAAAAATTGTATTTCCTTAGAAAGTCCAATCCGAGTATGCAAGAATCAGTGATCTCTGCTACATATGCCGTGTGATGGTAAGCGGCACTTCCAAACGTGATGTTAACATTTACTTTTCCATCGATGTCGATCTTCTCACCGGACACAGTCTGTAGGGTAACGCAGGGCGGCGTCCAGATAAGTTTGTTTCCCAGTTGTTGAGCCAAATCTTTTCGGATGATGGTAACGTTGGCTCCTGTATCTATCGTCATATTGCAGGGAACTCCATTAATATGTCCTATTATAAAAAGTCCATTACTGCCGCCCTCTCACTGCAGAAATCTGAAGCGCTTTAAACTGGGGCTTTTCATTATCTGGCAACCTCCGCCCCGCGAGATGGCCACTAATTAGTTTCCCTGCTGTTTGTTAGGAGCGGTCTTAACATCCGTACCCTGGGGTGTTCTGCAGTTTCGTCGTATGTGTCCTTCAGCACCGCAGTTCCAGCACTTTACGGTCGGTTTCTTGTCACCAATATTCCGTCTCAAGGCGTTCAGTTGTCTAGTTAAATCGTCTAGACGAGCAGTGACTTGATCCCCTGGCTCCTGGACTTGAGCAGCTCTGACTGGGTGGCGGTCTCGACGAGTGGCTTGCTGGGCTGCCTCGAATTTCATGGCGTACACTAAAGCGCTTTTCAAATCTTTAACATCCGCCATTCGCAGTGCTTTCTGTATTTCAGGGTCCCGGATGCCATCGATGAAATATTGCAGCGACAGGATTTCTCTTGTTTCTGTCGGGCACTCCGAAAAGGTGAGATGAGACAGCTTTTCAACACCCGTGGCGAGCTCCCGGAGTGCTAGCGTGCGCTTCCGTTGACGATATTTTAATTGAAGCCTGATGTAATCTTTTAAACACTTCTCGTCAAAGCACAGCTCCAATGCGCCGGATAGAGCTTCGAAATCTAGCCTTTGGTTTTCGGGAAGGATATCCGCTGCGTCTGCTCTCAGAGAAGCGGCGAGATGACAGGCCTTAGCTTGGGAATCCCATCCATTCGCTTCCGCAACGATAGAAAATTGTGTTTTATACACTTGCCAGGAGGTCTTCCCATCATATGTGGATACTTCAGAGAGGGACGAGCAGGCATCGGTAAAAATTTAAAACCATCACTATTGTTTCCCTGCCGTCGCTACGAATTTCTTTAAAGTGTCAACTTTTTTTGGCAACTGCAGAAACCCTATCATCAATTTGTTGTTCGATTTGGTGTTGGACGGCAGAAACTCTTCCTTCTATATGTTCTTTTTTTACAGAAGAAACTCTTTCTTCTATTTCTTTCTTCTTTCACCGAAAACTCTTTCTTCAATTTGATCTTTTACCGAAGAAACTTTTTCTTCAATTTGTCCAACTTTATTTTCAACTGTGTCTATTCTGCCTTCCATAGCTTCAAATTTATTTTCTATTATGCAGGTAATTTCTCTTTTCATTTCTTCTTGACCACAGTTTAAACGGCTTTCATTTCGTCCTTAACGGATTCCTGGCCCAATTTTCATTTCTTCTTTTAAATGAGGCAAAGGCTGATATTAAATGCCTTAATTGCTCTTCTTCCATCGCTCTTGTTATTGGCATTCAAATCCCACTTCCTGACACCAAAAATTGTTGCGTGCGTACGGGTTCGTTATGAAATGAATGCACAAGTCCGATGAAAAATGAACAAAATTTATTATTATCACAACAAAAATGCTTAAATTTTTCTCAAATTATCATGCAGTATTACAATATCTCACAGTAGTTATCTTTTAACTACTCAAATGTCCAATAGAACGTAATTCAAAACAGCTAAAGAACGCTAATCCGCGAATTCGCTACAATCAACAAGAGCAGTTTTCTAAACAACAACAAACTAAGCAACTACTACAAACTGAGATGTTGTTTTCCTCCTTTTATAAGATTTTAAAATCACGCGCTAGAATTTTCCAGTACTTTCTCGAAATCAAAAAGAGATATTTATTTATTTAATGCACGTGCTCTTGTATTTTCAATTTTCCGGCTTAGCTTTCTTTTAATATTCGTCACGCGCTGCCCTGCGCGAGAAATAAAACTCTTTCTTCGTTCATTTAATTTATAATTAAACTAACATTAGCTTTTTAAATACCAAATTCGTAACAATATAAATATTAAGCTTTTTTTTTGTAAATTTTGATACACTTTAGATCATAATTGTTCTTTATTTCGTAAATTACGGTTTCATATTTTTAATTTTATAATTTCTGCATGCCATTTTACGAGATTTAAACTGATGATCTATAATCCGGAAAAATCGATAATCCGGAATCGCCGAAGTCCCGACGAGTCCGGATTAACGACTTTTGACTGTAGTATTCTTTCTCAAATCTCTGTCATTGCCACAGGCAAGCTTAGTGATTTTTTCAACTAAATGCCACATCTAGCAGTCACATGTAGCACCTACACACACACACACACACACACAAAAAGACAGTTCTATATCTCCCGTTCTACTAGACCGATTGTCAAAATTTAACTTGCATTTTCCTTGTCTCGAAGCGCCACTTAGAATATATATTAGATTTATATATACCTTTGTTTTAACATATTTACTAAAGAAATATTGATTACATTATCTCCTAAGATTAATTTTAGTAGAATTATCTTAACCCTCTCAGCGTTACGGCCAGAAAATTCCGTACAAAAGGTTGCCTTCCACATTCATTATACATGAAAATTTCTGCTAGCTTTTAATGCATCTGATTTCAGTTTAGATGTATATTGGAAGAAAAGGAATCAAGGTACAAATTGAAAGAGTCATTTTTTAATTAAAATCAAGAAAATATCACTTATTCATAACATTTTGAGAAACTTTGAAATTTCAGGGCTAAACTCGTAACGCTCAGAGGTTTAAAAGAGTGAATCCATAATTAGTAAGTTCAATTCCGAAAATTGTTTTAAAGTAACTTGAATGCAAATTGTTAAAAATGTTTAACGAAGATTTGAATTAAATCATGAATAACAAAATTTCAATTGTAAAAAGAAATAAATTAAAAGCAAGTAATCATTGCCATTGATCGGAAATTAGTTGACTTCTCAAGGGGAACAAACCAACTCCTGTTCAATGAACAATAATTAAGAAATAAATATGAAGGTGTTTCGTCCTTTACTCAAGTAATAAGGCGATGCCAAACCGGCAATTCAAGCTAGGCCAAATATTTCTGTGTATAGAAGGAATCAAGAACCAATGCACAGCACCAAAGAACTCATTCCGATTAAGCATTTTCGCTAATTCAATTTTGAGTGAAAGGTATTTTGACACAAAATCGGACTTTTTCTGAAATAACATACTAATTTTTTTCCATATTTTGATTCGACGATATATTCTAGTATGCCAGAGTGCCAAGTTTTGTAAAAATCGCACGAGCAGTTTTTAAAAAATTAGCTCTCAAAATGTTAGCTCCTCCATGTTAATTGAATTTGGTATATATTTATTAGTATATCTTTTTTTATTAAACTTATTTGATTCTTCCTTTTCACATTTCGAAATTTAGGTTCATTACAAATAAAATTCACTCATTTTTTATGATTTATTTTTTAAAATTTTTTATAAATTTTTCAAAAAAAAAAAAAAAAAAATATAACCTATAAAATTTTTACCATCATCTTAATGTATTTATTTCTCAACATACCAGCAAAAAATTAAAGTTTTTTATTTAAAATTTCCTAAGATATACGTGAATTTATATAGTGGCATATTTTGAAATCTGGCATATTTGTTATAAGCGATAATAATATCAAATGTGACAATCACATTAGCGTGTTTCTCTTCTAGTCTAATATCAAATGTGGTTTACACACTTTGAAAGTATGAATGAGGATCTTTTTCTCACTCACGCACAGTAAAAAAAAGGCAAGGAAAATAAGTTGCTATAAATTAAGAAATTAGCCAAACGAATTATTCTTGGTGCAAACTGGAAAAAAAAAAAAAAAAAGTGTTAAGATACATTTTTTAATTTCTCACAAAAAATTACAAAATTTAACGTCTAGGCATAATTTGAATCATAAAATCGAAATATGAAAAAAAAAATTGGTACATCATTTCAGAAATAGGTCAGATTTTGTGTCAAAATACCTATGTTAGAAAAATGCTTGCGTTTTTGAGACACGGAAAATTTTGACTTAAATTTTGACTAGCAGTGCAGTAGTAGACACGGAAAATTTTGGCATAAAAGTTAAATTTTGACTAGCAGTGCAGTAGAGGAGATACAGAACTGTCTTTTTTTTTTTTTTTTTTTTTTTTGTGTGTGTGTGTGTGTGGTGTGTGCAAGGTGTATCCTGTATATTCAGTTTTTTGGCATGTACTGGGTTATGCTGTAGTTCTAACACTTGAGTTGATAGGACAAAATCCCTGTGAGTTTTGAAATCAGCACAGGGGCATAGCTAGAGTTTCCAGCGCTCGGGGACAATTGAAGAATTTGCGCCCCTTTCTGTGTGCCAAGAATATAAAACGTTTCATTAAAAAATTTCGTAGCATGAATTTGGCACCCCTTGGACGCTGCACCCGGGAATAGATGTCCCCCCTTGTCCCACCCTAGCTACGCCACTGAATCAGCAGTGGATATTTATAATGCTAATTTCAAAGCAAAGATTTCTCAGAGATGAGTAAAACTTCTAAGGCTCCTATTTATATACTGTCTAGTGTTCTAAATGAATGTTACTTTTTATGTTTAAATTCATTTTTTTACCATCATATTTTTCTTTGGATTTTTGCAAGAGGCTCAGATGTTTTCTAACAAGTTTTACCAAATCATCCTTGCTCCTTTCTTCCAACTGCAAAATAAAAAGGGAAATATAAGCACAACTGCATAATTAAAAAACATGCATACTACTTTACCTAACTATCCCTAATTAAATATTTTTGTTTTAATAATATATTCAACTTTATTAAAAAAAACTAACCAGAACATAAAAAAAAAAAAAAAAAAAAAAAAAAAAAAAGCACACGGTTATTCAAAATTGTTTTTGTGCAATCTTTTGTGGTTATTAACTTTTGTTGCCATTCCTGTCTCATAAATTTCAATTAATATTTGATTTAATGATGGATTTAAAGGGAATCATATTTTTAATGCCAAACAAGATAGAAGAAAGAGCTATAACATAAAGTTCAGGAAAGGAACTGTAAAGATTCCTAGGAATCAGTTTTTTGCAAAGCTATAGAGAGAGAGAGCTCTACTGCCCGACATGAGAGATTGTGGCAGGAAAAAAGTAACTTCCTATAGGAAATGAAGTTATAAGAAATTCACGCAGGAATTCAGGATTTGGAGCTTTATGAAAGGGATAACATTACTATACAAGAATAAATGAGAATTTTGTACATGGGTAAATGTATTAATTTTTGTATATTATAAAGGTAAATTATTGTACATGAAAAAAAACATATCCACTGAAAATAAGGCATCTTCTTGGAGCAACAATTAATATGAGACCTAACAATTAATATAAGACCTCTATATAGCTATCTTTCAATCCACACTACTATACATCAGTTAGTATCTAGAAAAAAATCTGTCATAAACATTCTTATGGCTGTTTGATAATCTAATTAATTAGTTATGGCAATGTCCCCATGCTATAAAAGTTCTTTACCATACTGTAAAATTTCTCTGTAAAAAAAAAGAAGGAAAGTTTTGTATTTATGTAAAACCACAAAAATATTTATGCCCCTGCTCGTTTTAACAGTAGCCATACTGTAATAATCAATGCAATACTCTTTTAATTATATAGCCTGCTGTGCTTCATAGCTATGGATATGCAGTAATTTCAACTGAAGCTAGCCAGTAGTGATACTGTTATAGGTTCAGAATTTTATTTTGCAATTTTTTTTTTCTTTTTTTTTTTGTGATAGACATCAAGTATATCTAAGGTTAGTAGATGACAGTAAAATTCTTACAACCTCAATAAAATTCCTTTTATTGTTATAAATAATTTAATGCTGATAATGTTAACCCTTTGAACCATCTTGATTTGAAATCAACTGCTTATAATGTAACCAATTGATTGAGAACCATGAGAGGCGACTCTCGGTAACAACTTGATTTCATGCAGTAATTCAAGAGGTGACTCTTGATCATCACTTGGTTTGATGTGATAATTTGAGCAGTAAGGATATTTACTTAGGGCTTTGCTTATTTAACAGTACATGTATAAAAAATAACTGCCAATCTTTTATCTTAAATATGTTTTTTAGATATATTGCTATATATGCATCTTTAATGTTACCTTGAACTCAATTGTCATGTCAATATTATTTTTAAAGTTATGGAGTCCATTAAGTATGGAATACAATGAAGGAATCAATTCAAGGGAAGACGAGTTTGACATTTTGTTGATGAAGAAAGAAATTATGCCTATGCATAGACTGATGATAGAGAGAAGGAAAGCAGTAAAGAAGATAGCAGTGAAGTAAGAGGTGTAAGAAGCAGAAAAATCAGGTTAATAGATAGTGAATGTGAAAGTGACAGTAAAGAAGAAACAGAAAATTCAGAACACATGACGTGCACATACTCCGAAAAAATAAGCAAAGAATACCGTTTGTATTAGGGGAAAGAGCTGCAAGTCTGCAATTATCTTCAGACATAAAAGAAATATTGGTGAAGTCATTTTAAACTTTAAGTTTAGCTGTACGAAATTCAGCAAATATGGGGAAAATCAAATTGCTGGTTCATCTGAGAGAAAAAGGCCTTGAGTGTAAAGGGTTAATAAATATAGGGATGATTCATGAACAGATCCATTTTTATTTCAAGTAAAAATACAAAGTGAATATAAAGCAGCCTGTAAAAATAGAACTAAAAGTTCCTAATTTTGATAACTTTGAATCAAGAAAGTTTTTGGTAATTTAATAACTACTTATTGATCTGATCAAACAATTTCAAGTTTGTATTAATTGTGGTATTTTCATTTAATAGCTTAACAACCATAACCCTGAGTTCTAGATAACTAACCCATACTCTATAAAACTGAAGAGAAATCTGATGTCACTAACGAAATTCATTCCTTTATCCCTTTGTTGCTCAGTGTTCCACTACATGGGACACCCAACTTGAATCACTTCTGAAACCCTTAAATTCAACTGCAAATGGATAAAAATGCCTTTATGATATACTTTTCTTTTTAAATAGTAGATGGCACTTTTCTTTTTAAATAGTAGATGGCAGCATATCACAAGGAGATGCAGGATTTTCACCTGTGATGTGTTATTAAAATCCCCTTATTTTCAAGTAATTTTCTCTATTTTTTTGTGATTAAAAAAAAAAAAAAAAAACTGTTTGAAAAAATTTTTCTGTATACTTTTAATGGCTGCACTTTATATTATTTGTTCCATATTTAAAAAAAAATTTCATACAAAAAGTACGCGCAGAATCATTAAATAAAACAGGGTGTTCCATCAGCAGGAACACTGCGCCTCTAGCGATCTCATGCTATTACGCTTCAGAACATCCGTTCTTAGGAGAAAACATGTGTTGTATACGTTTTCTGTTTCTATTGTTTTGGGAGGAATGAATTCAAACAAAGCAGCATTGAGGATGTGATGTGGTTTGTGCTATGAAAGCCCTAATATGGGCATCTTAAAATTTTTGTGAGTTCAGGCGGGAATTTTATCAGTAGCTTGAGTCATCACAAAACAAGTTTTGTAAGCAAAACCTCCAAAGTTGGTTTGCAAAAGTTGGTTTGTGCTTCTGTCAAAAAGGTGTGACATGCTTTGAACAATTTCATAAAGCTAAGAAATTGAAAAACTTTTAATATTTTTTAATATAGGACTTGTGTATATACATACATTTATCTCATTTATCGATATATATTCAAGAACATTGTGTATATCCAGAAAACCATGTATACAGCCATAATACATTGCTTTTTTCATTCTTATACAAAAGCTTTCTACTCATTTCGTGCTTCACTGCAATGCTTGCACAGTCGCACTTTAAGAGCACTGGCGGCGGAGTGTTCCACCTTGTGGAACACCCATAAAATTAAAACGGTAAGTGCAATATTTACAAAATTTGACATGTGTACTTCTTTAGGCATAAATACACTGAATACAACTTTTTTGTTGGAATTCCAACTTTAAAGTATAGTGCGCCACAAAGGGTTATTGCCCAAAATAGGGACTTGATAAAATTAACTGTAATTAAAAAATAAAAGAAATATACGAGGTATGACACACACATGAAAAAAAAAAAAAAAAGAGACAGAGAGAGATTAGGTGTGTAGCTTGAAAACAGAGTGGAGTTGGTAACAACTGTTTTGGTGACGTCATGCCACACACCTCCTCTATCCATGTGGCCAATTTCAACTTAACCGACCATGCCAGTGAGAAGAACAGCATCATTCAGTAAACACGTGCAACTGCCTTCTGGCGAAAAAATGTCTAATGTAAAAACCCTGAACAGCAAATCAACATCAAGTTTCTATTGAAACTTAAGAAATCAGTCACGAAGGAAACATTTCAAATGTTAACTTAGGCTTATAGAGATGAGACTTTGTCTCATGCATGTGTGTTTGAATGGCATAAGTGGTTTCCAGGGGAAAGTGGCAGTGTGGAAGATGGTGAACATGCTGGGCTCCCCCTTTGGCGGCCAGGACGTTCATCATGATTGAATGGGTTCCCGGTGGTCAAACTGTTAATCAATACTACTACATTAAAGTACTAAAAAGACTTCATGAAAAAATTAGGGAAAAAAGCCACAGTTGTGGAGTGATGGATGGCTGTTGCACCAGGACAATGCACCCACTCCCACGGCCCTATCTGTCAAGCAGTTTCTGACCAGGACGCCTATTCTATGGTCACTGGATCTGTCTACAACTTAAGCGAACAATAAAAACTCAAAAAAACCGGTATAGACAGCCGTCACAACTTATCGGAGAAAGCCATTCTGTGGTCCTCAGTTGGTGGGCGGGTGGGTCCATTTGACTTTACTGAAAGGGGACAAGGCTTCAAGGAGCTTTAGACCAATCGCAGTACAGACGAGTGACGAAATTTATAGTGCGTGCTGGCTGAAGTTCTAGGAATATTCTCCCATTTATTTCACTAACTCACACGCTGTATTTGTAATTCGAAAAAAATTGCACAAAACAGTATTATGCAGCAGAATATGCTGCTGTCTTATGTGAAGGAAAATCCCGTTTTTTTTAAGGGGAAAGTTAACGCAGGAAATTTAGAGCTAAGAAATAAAGAGTGATATGGGATACCACGATAAAGCAATGAGTAAATAGATAAGAGCAAATGATGAATTAAGCTTACTTCAAATCCTTTTAGAAATAAACAATTTTAATCATTTAAATTTATAATATGATTAATTTGCATTACAGTCTAATAGCAAACTAAGTTTCCCCCTCCACATGCTTACATTAAAACTGTTTTTCCCGCAAATTTATTTACAGTTACTATTGGAAAAATATCTCTTTAAATAAGAAATTATTTCTTTCTTAATATTTCTTCCCTTTTTTTATTTTATTTTTCTATGAAAATTATTTCTTTCAGGAAAAGAAATAAAATTCATTCACTATGGCCGATTGCTGCTGCATTCAACTATCACACACGCATCAAAATGTTTTATTTTAAATAATTTATTCTATAATTAACATTGAAACTTAAAAAATAAGAAAATTTTTTTCAATATAAAATATATAACCAAAATTAAACTAATCTATCCTGTATGTGTGATTAATTCGTTTTGCAATTTTTGTCACACAATTACTAATACCTTTTTTTTAATATTACATTGCTGTTATTTTAATTTTATATATATATAAGAACTGCTTGCTCAGTT